ATATATAAGTTTCTAATATAGTTAATAATATTTTATATTTAAGTCAGTCAAGTTGTATTGAGTAAATATTATTTTTAAGATTACTTTTAATTTGTTCTAATTTATTTAAAATTGTGTCTACAAATTAATAATCATAAAATCTATATAAAAACATCAATCAAAGTTAAATAAAATTAAGTAAAAGTATTAATGGTTGACATCTAAAAAAATGTGATAATATTACTTATCTATATCAAAGTCATGTGATAATTTAGTAACATATTACTTATCTATATACAAACATATGATTATAATATTTATTAGAGTTAAATATATTTTTAATTTCTGCAAAATCAGTGAATTTTTATTTTGGTCCTTGTAAAATTTTTCATTATTTTTTATCCTTCAAAATTTTAGAAACATTGTTTTGCATCTTTATAAAGTGAATAAATTTTTGTTTTGATATTCATAAATATTTTTTCTTTAATTTTTATCGTCTAAAATTTGAAGTTACTTCTTTTTTTGTTTTTAATGATTATTTTAAAGTAAATAAATAATAATTATTTTAGCAATCATTTTTGTAATGAGTGTGAACACACTTTTTTGTAAAAATAAATAGAAAATCTTCAAAGGTATTATAAAAATCCTTTCAACATAACTCTATAAGTAAAATGATTCACAATTCTCTTAATAAAAACTCTTTAAAAATATGAATAAATGTCATCATAAATCAAAAACAAGACAAAGACCACCATTTGTATAAAACTCTAAACATTAAAACATGAAACATCATACAATAAAATAACTCTAACAATAACTAGGAAATCATAAACTCTCAATCTCAATATCACGCTACAAAAGCAAGACCCAAAATAGTCAATGAGGCACTATGCTTCTCCACCATCATACTCATTCTCTTATACTTGCTTTACTCCTTCAAAAGGCAATTAGTTCAAACACGCACAATAACAAATATAGGGAGTAAGAATATATCTCATTCATGTATAACACATATAAGACAAACGAATAGTACTAAAGACATGCATCATAATCATGATTTCATGTATATAGTTATTTTCACTTCCATCATTCAAAGTCATACTCAACTCAATACATCTATCACTCCACATCCATCCATCAACAACTACCATTCATTTCATTCAAAATATCTCAATCATAAAATAAGACTCGTGCAAATGCATGTACTCAACTTTATATGCATGTGGTACCAATTTCCTAATGATTACCAACCTAAGGCATCCTAGGAGCCATTATAACATCCTAGATTTTCAAAAATAAAATACAATGTTATTTTAATAAAAAAATTATTTTATAGGTTTAATTAATTTAATTAATTAAGTTTATAATTTAAATAATATTTTTTATTAAATTAAAAAGGGGCTTTAAGCAAAAAGTATTGAATTGGACTCTAAACCCAACATGAAGGCTTATTAAAAGCAACGAAAAAAGGTTAGATTCCTTGTGCATTTTTTTGAGCCCTAAAAGCCAATGTAGAGGAAAACCTAAAAAAAAAGGTCATAAGAGAGAGTATAGAGTAGCGATTAAGGCTATGACAAACTATTGTGTTACTGAATCATCACTCGAGGTAAGAGAGAGTGAGGCAGTTGCGTCCATGGGCATGTATGAGGAGATAGGGGTAGTGAGGTGATTCATAAGCCTCTTAGGTCTCTATTTGAATGTTTGTCGGTATCTATGTGTAAAATTGTATTAGGAGTATTATATTTGTTCTTGTAAATTCATGTATATATTTTGGTTTGGCAAATCTCATGATGAATTGATGAGATTGAGGGTTAGGGTCATACATGTGGAGCTTTTGATGAGAATGAACGAGATTGAATGAATTACTACTTTATGACTATTAGATGTATGATATATGATTTTTTATCGAATAATTGAATGATAGAAATGCATTGGTGGTTGTGGATGGAGAACCCTTCATGGAGTTGGGCATAATGAACCTAGTTTCCTACACTAGGCGTGGAGAGAGCCACGTCGGATGCAAGGATGCTAAAGAGGTCCTAGACTTTGCAACACCCCATTTTTAAAAAATATTGTTATTATTATAATTACATAATATTGGTCAAATTATTTTTATAAGACAATATTATTTTGTACGTTTTAAATAATTATTTTATATGTATTAAATAAGTATTTTTATTAGTATTTTAAATAATTATTTGTGTATTTTAAGGAATAATTTAGGAGTCAATTAAGTATATATTTTATTAAAAAATTTAAATAATTGATTTTATAGGATATTTTGATATTCAAATTATATTATTATACTTTGAGTCAGAAATAATAATAATTATTATTATTGGAGAAAAAGTATTTTGTATTATATATTTATTTAATTATTTTGGGGAAAAGAGAAATGGGTCGGGAAGAGAAGAAAAATGGGTTGGATTGACCCAGCCTAGTGGATTATTTTTAAGAAATGGTCAAATAGAGTTAACTCTATCTATCTCATTTTGCATTCTGAAGGGTTAGAGGAGAAATAAAGAACTCTGAGGAAGAGTGTTCAAGATATGCTCAGGAACAATCTCATTTGGCATCAAGATCATTCGGATTAACTAAACTAGGTATGGGGGGGAAAAGGATTTTTGTATGCGAAATCACATGAAGGAATGGGTAGGGGGAGAGTT